GATGTATTTGTCTGTAAAAGTCATCAGCAAATGTAAGCAAGATTACCCAATTGTTTTCTTGAATCTAAATTTATGGATAAATTGCATCTTACTGTCTTATTACTCTTGGAAATAGCTCATGCAATTATTTAATAGTTTACTTTTCTGAATACATACTAGATTTTTGACATTTTCTGGATCTTTAAGAGACGCGAGCGTTTGTTGTTGGTAGGCCAGAGCCCAAGGCCTTAGACATGGCAGAAATGCCCTCTGCCGCAGAGCTGCTTGGACGCTTTGTCCTACTTTGCTCAGCGGTAGTCTTTGGGACCTTCTTTGTTCAGATGATGCTGTGTTTCTTGTAGCTGAGCAATCATTTCCTGACTCCTGTCTGCCACTGTTGCGGGTGTCACCTCTCTCCCCTTTTCCCACTATATAACTCCATTATTGTTATTTTGAGACTTTTTACTCTGACTTTGGCCTTTCTTTCTGCCTGCCTCCTTCCCTCCCTCTCCATCCCTCTCTCTTTCCCTTCCTTTCTTCCTTTTTAAAAAAATATATAATTTCTATTGTAAAGATACTGCACAGAGGGGTTACAGTTACATGTGCAAGGTAACGAGTCCATTTCCTATCAAGCGTTGTTACACCCTTCTTTGTTTTCCCCCTACCATCCCTTCTCCTCCTCACCTCCCCAATTCATCCCGCCCTCCTCTACCTCCCCCCCTCCAAAGTTGTAAAGTTCGTTTTCAACATAATGTCTTGTACATCTCATTGCTATAATGGGTCATTTTGTTATTTCCTTTCCCCTACCCAAATTAGAAAAATGTATATACAAGATGCAGGGTACCAGAATCAAATACAGTGACAACAGGGGTTGGACCATGGGGGAAGAACATACAAATCACATAGTACATTAAGCAACAAAGATAAAAGCTCTTATGTGCCTATCCTGGGCTTCCTTTCTACCTTTTGTGCCACTTCTGGGGATTGAACTTGTGCTCTTGCTTGGCTTTCCTGCCTCAAGGCTAGCACTCTACCACTTGATCCACAGCTCCACCTCTGGCTTTTTGGTAGTTAATTGAAGATAAGAGTCTTGTGTGTTTGTCGGCTTTGAACTTGGATCCTCAGCAATAGCTCTAATCGAAAAAGGGAAGAACTGAAGTCTGAAATATACTTGGTCCTGTTAGAATTTATTAAAAAATACATAAAAATAAGTAGAACAATAGTTTGAGGACCTAAGCTGGGTGCTGGTGGCTCATCCTGAAATCCTAGCTACTTAGGTAGCTGAGATCTGATGATGGTGGTTTGAAACCAGCCCTGGCAAGAAAGTCCGTGAGACTCTTATCTGCAATTCACCACCCAAAATCTGAAGTGGAGCTGTGGCTCAAGTGTTAGAGTATTTGCCTTGAACACAAAAGCTCAGGGACAGAGCCCAGGCCCTGAGTTCAAGCCTCACGACCAGCATACCCACAAAAAAAAGGCTTTAGAATATTAATTGGCAACTTCGATGGCTATCACCTGGTTACAATTTGTAGAAATTTCCTGTATCATTTGATTCTTTCCAATAAACTTCCAAAGATCTCCAAGTAATTTCTACTTTCCTCGGTGTTTAGTTACAGCATGAGAACATGCTATAGGAGCAATACATTTTCAAAGGAACTTAAAACAGCTTAGAGGAAGCTTTGAAATAGTATAAATTGAATACAAGCAACATATGTGTCATAGGCTTAAAACTAGATCCATTGGTAGTTGAGCCGCATCAGTAAGTGGTTACTTAAATATTGTACATAAAGGAGGTAGAGGACACGATGCGTCGTTTAAATTTTTGTCCTCAGAGGCTCCCATAGTCTGGGGTTTTAGAATGGGTTCGAGTTAATAGTAGAGTAGGCGCTACATGGCAGAGTCTGGGCAGCCCTCCATTTATCTCCCAGCTCCTGGTGAGTCTGCCACGGGCTCACTTCACTTCCTTACATTGGCTCTGAATTTCCACTTAATGGAAGACTAACCGGGAAGCTAGTCAAAATAAGATTGAATTTATAGGTTTTCATGTAGAATGGAACCACCTGCTATTTCCACTGCTTTTAGAGTCTCTCATAACTAGACAGCTGAAACGAGAAAGTGAATCTTAAATTCAACACTACATTCCAATCATCTTTTTTGCCTGATAAAATGTTATATTTCACCCCCACCGAGGCTTGGTAATGACATTTATAGCTCCTCAGCATTCTAGACCTGTACAGATTCTCAAAAATTGGAATATTTTACAATTTGAACGTATTATACATTTTATTTTTTTTACCTTTCTGTGAAATGTCAAGACCAGTAAACACAATTCTAACAAAAAATTTCAGCTTTAAGAGAAAGCAAAGAACATTTAAGTGTGTATCAATTTTTACCGTGACAGATAAAAGGGAAGAAATTCTTAACACACTGAGTTACCGATGCCATTCTCAAACCCTCTCACCTGCAGGATGTCACAGTCTGCTTTGTAGTAGAACTTCAAGAATGTTTCAGCTTAAGTTGAAACAGTTGTAAAAGGGCCATTTCCATGTTAGATTTCCAGAATGCGTACATTCATTCAAATCTACTCTCTTATTTCCTCAGAGTGACCTGAGTGGAATACTTCTTTTCACTTTGCTTTGATGGGGTGCCACACATGGGCGGAAAGCACAGTGGCTCAGCCATGTCTGCCGTGCACAGGGCCGGGGACTTTCTGGGACATAAGGTGAATATGCTAGCACTCAGAGGATTTCCATTCAAAGACAGGCCGGCGGTAGGGGAAAAGTTCACTAGACACCCTGTCCAAAATAACCAGCTAACAGCATGACTGGTGCGGTGGCTCAGTGGCAGAATGCCAACCACGTCAGCAAGCCAGTAAGCAAGTCAAGTGAGTGCAAGGTTCTGAGTTCAAACTCTAGTACTGCCACTTCCAAATCAAATGACTGGGTGACCCCGTTGTCTGAGCCTCTGGAGATGGCTCCATTGGCTGCCCCCCAACACAGTAGATGGGATCATGATTGACAGGCCTGTGGGAGGGAACATCTCCCACTGAGGTAGGAAGCCAAGAAGATTCAGGGGTCTTGTTTTATAGCAACTCCACTCTTACAGGAACTAACCAAAGCCCAAGAGGACTACATTAATCTCTTCCATGAGCATACACCATCATGATGCAATTCCTCCCTACTAGACCTCCTAAAGCTTCCAGCAACTTCCAGCATCAGTACACAGAGGACTGAGTTTCCCCCACCTACACATAAGCCTTTGGTAAAGAGTGGCTGGATTATTAGAGTCACATCTCCCGTGTCTCCTTGTGGATAGCTTGAGTCCTTCCCAGGGGATCAGAGCCTGATGTACAGGTGGATTTCAAGTACCTGCGTCAGGTAATGAGTACATTTCCTTTTGCACAGTATTTTCTGTTCCCTCCCTTTCTCCCAGTCCCTCCCCCACCCCGTCTCCACCCCCAAGTTGTATAGTTCACTTTCATCAGTGTCCAGTGAGCACCACTGCTGTACTTTTTCACCTATTTGTGTGTGTGTGTGTGTGTGTGTGTGTGTGTGTGTGTGTGCATGTGTGTAGGTCCTGGGGCTTGTATTCAAGGCCTGGGTACTATCTCTGAGCCTTTTTTGCTCAAGGCTAGCTCTCTACCACTTGACCACAGCTCCACTTTCTTCCCTGCATTCTTAAGGAGACTAAATTTAGCTAATTTAATCTTTTCCAGGTGGCCAAGAGTCATCAACAGGAAAATTGATTCTTCTACATAGTAGGAGGTCACTGAATTTGCAAGGTCTCTTGGTTCCCACATTAAGTGGCCCCAGATGGCTGCATGCTTGTATGAACAGCTTTGTGTATGTGTGTGCCTGTGTCTGAACTTCAGCTGTTGTTTATTGGTGGTTTCCTGGTGTCTATTTATAACTTGCTGCCATGTTTTAATGAACTTATAGAGGGGTAAACACAATACTCTGTAAAGTAGATGGTAGTTTCCTAGACCACAGAAAGTTTGGCTTCTTGAAGTCATCAAAAGTTTGACTGATAGATAAGTAGGGGTATTCTCCACTCTAATCACAAGCAAACTCAGAATGAATCGCTTGTGCTGCGATTGATTTCTTTGGTCCCATTCTCTGAGGACATGGAGGACAACGGTTCAAGTCTCTTTCCTTAATGATACTGATTGGACACGGTTACGAGGTCATTAGAGAACCTGTCCTCACACTCCAGAGTCTCAGCCCTTGCTCATGTGTCTCGTTTTCCAAGTGATTAAACGTTTTCACTGTGACTTTGTAAATTCCCTTCGCAGCTTTTCTTTCACACGTCTTTTGGGCAGGCTAGTTTCAAAACCAAAATTGCAGTAATTTAAAAGTCAATTTTAACATTTATGCTTATTATCTCAAAATGATATTAATATCTTTTATATCATATGCATGTTATGAAGGGTAAAAGAGTTTAAGCATTTAACTAAGGGTCACTAAATCACTTATACGATTTTATTGAGTTATTAAAGAAATATACATGCACACATATATGGATACATACATATTTGTGTGCATGATATGTATCTTACATATACACACTGCCAATTGAAAGAGTAAACTTGATTTTTGGGAACACCAAAAGAATTATCCTATATCTTATGCATAAAACTTGATATAGGTAGTTTAAAATACTGAGAAATAAAATTGCTTCATGAGGTTGTTTGTTGGAACCAAGCCCTATTTTTTTTTTTTTTTGTGGGGCTTGAACTCTGGGCCTGGGAGCTATCCCTGCGCTCTTCAGCTCAAGGAGAGCGCTCGACCTCTTAAGCCACAGCGCCACTTCTGGTTTTCTAGTGGTTTATTGGAGATCAGAGACTCACAGACTTTTCTGCCTGGGCTGGCTTTCAACCATGATCCTCAGATCTCAGCCTCCTGAGTAGCTAGGATTGCAGACGTGAGCCACCAGAGCCCGGCTCAAGCTCTAATTAAGCTCTAATTCCAAACCTCTCCGCCTTCTCCCTCTAGTGCATACCTTGTGGATATGTGTAAGATATACTGCTTGGTTGGTCGGTACTTGTCTTTCTACAAAAGTCTGATGGTGCCAGACATTTCTCTGGCAATGGTTGTAACATTTGCTGTAAAATTTAATCCATGCTACCCACATTCATTAAACAACTGTTTGGTAAACCAAAATCAGTTTCTCCTCCTTAAAGACCACTTGGATATCACACAGCACTTGGTTTATGCACATGGATGAAATATTAGCACCATGTTCTGATCCTTTGAAAAGCATCGTTTCCAAAAAGTTCTCACTAACTTCCCAGCTGACTTAGAAATCCTAAGGCAATCTCATATACAATGGATAGATGATCTCCTATACATTAGAGTTAAGCCTCAGTTGCTGAGGCTTAATTGGCTCCTCAATTCTTTCCTGGTTATTTAGACACAGCCTACTTTACCCCAACATGTAAACAATGCTTGACTAATAATGTGATCAAAGTCCCAGGAATAGTAAGACGGGTTGCAAAGAAAGAAGTGACCAACTGTCACTTAGAAAACTTATGTAAAATTTAGAAGCTAATATTTGAACTCAGAAAAAATCTAGCCCTTTCAAAAGTCATGAAAGATAAACAAAATAACATTTTAGATACATGCTTTGTTTTCAAGTACTTATTTGGGGATAGAATTTGTTTTTCAGAGCCAACAAACTTACCTAGCAAGAATGGGAAATTGTCCAAAATGTGAAGTGTGTGATCATATTAGGACTAATTTCTAGCATTTCACTTAGATTGCTGGTACATTCCCATAAGTTTAAAAAAGGTGCTGATAAAGAACTCTACTCAAACAGTAAAGCAAGACCATTGTATATTCATCTATTATACCATGTGTGTGTGTGTTTGTGTGTGTGTGTGTATGTGTATATGTGTGTGTGTGTGTGTGAGAGAGAGAGAGAGAAAGAATGGTCCTGCTGATAGTTAAGATATTTAAGCCAAATATTTGAGTTGTTTTCCCCCCAAAAGTGAGGAAATTGGTTTACACAATTCATTTGCTATTGAGGCTCAAATAAACCCAGCAGACACGTCTTCTGTGCCCATCAGTTTTTGACAGCTGTCAGTTTACGGGTATGATCGCTTTATCTAAGCCTAACAAATGCCGCATTAGTATCTTCGGAAAATGGACTGTGAAAGCTGCAGTTTCACTGTCCCAAATCAATTACCGCAGCCTTCTACATAGAGTACCTTGGTTTGTGGGCACTGGGGCGGGCAGTGGGGGGTATTGATCCGAGTACAATGCCATGGGTAGTCAGGGAGAAAGGAGGAGAGTGTTTTCTGCTTAATGGGTTGGTATTAAGTAGGTGGGAATGGCTTCTAATTAGCCAACAATTGCTGTGTTTCCTGATTTCCCTCCTTCCCTCCTCCTGTCGGTCACCAGCTGCCAATCTGCCCCCATTTTTTTTTTTCTTATTTGGAGTTCATTGCTCACCACAGTGAGAGCCTTTGTTTAAGAAAGCAGGCTCCCAGGGTCTCAGCTGCCTGGGTACAGCTTGCTGCCTACGATGAGGAGCAACTGTCAGTTTATTTTATCTCAACCTTTTCATCATTCTGCTGAAACGGATCGACCGAACCCACCTGAGAGCGCTGAGGAATCTGCACCTCCCAGTCATTAGCTGCATGAACAGCCCTTGGTCGCAGAGCCAGGCAAAGGAGCACTTCCTGAAAGGCAGTCCACCTTCACCCCACCTTTCCCCTCCAACACAGGAGAATTCTGTCCCCTTTTAGTTTTTTGAAGCTGAACTGATGGGTGGTGATTCCTTTGACGTGCCTGCCTGCCGTCATAGAAGCCACCGTGTTTCGCTTTGGCCAAGAGCTGAGGAAGTACCTGTCTTCTATCACTGGCTTTCTTAGAATGATCTGAATAACGCGGGGGCAGGATTCCACCCATAGGAAAATCGAATATGAAACTGGAAAACATTTTACAGAATGGCTCTGTGACACCAGGTATTCAATGCCATCAAAAGGGACTGGTTTTACAGGTATGTGGTTCCACAGTGTAGTTTCTGTTGGGGGTTCCCTGTGTTTCATTTTTAAAACTAAGTAGAGAAACATTTCTCATACATGTTGGTGTGTTTACAAGCTCTCTCCCCATTTACCTTATGTCCAGAATGGATGTCAACAGGAGGATAGAATGAGAGCATTGCACCTGTTTTACACTGGAGCATAATATTTGGTAAAAATCAAAACCATGCGAAAGCATGGAAGGTTGAGGCTGTCACTCGCCACTCAGCACCACAGGGCCGTGAATGTCACACATAGAAATTTAGAAACACTTGGAAGGACAAGGACACTGAATGGAGAAGAGAAGTTTGGATAAATTATGAAGTGATAAGAATTTGATATGGTTTTGGAGCTAGGAAGCCCAAGAAACTTTTGACTTGATTTTTCTTAAAAGTAGGTATCTAAAGGAGAAAAAAGGAATGACACACTGATTTGAAGCATTTAACCCATTTCACATGGAATCTTCCTTCCTCCCTTCCCTCCCTCCTCTCTTCCTCTCTCTATCTCTTTTGTAGTACTGGGCTTTGAACTCAGGGCCTTCTGTTTAAGTGCTCTACCACTTGAAGAACCATAGCCTTATATCAGTTATTTATCAGATAGGGTTTGCATTTTTACCATCTCTCCCCCCCACCCCCCACCCCTGCCCTCCAGCCTGGTCTTGAGCACCAATCCTCCTACCTTCAGTGCATACATTTCTGGGATGATCACAGGTAAATTTATCACAACCTTTGGCAACAACAGTATTGCTAATGAATGTTGTCCTTTGACAAAGTGCTTTCTAGAGATAGTGTTGGGATGTGAAGAGCTGCACATAATATATTTAACACAATGATGAGTGTCCTTAGACCCCACTAAATGGGCTCATACATATGTGTGTTAATAGCATATGAGGGGAGCAAGCCTTGCATTATCACCTTAAATATTAAAAAAAGCAAACCTTAAGCAGCTTAAGTTCTGTCCTCACATAGAGAATCACCAGGTGTGGTTGTTAAAGGAACCTTTGTAAATGCTGTCATTAGATATTAATTCAGAAGGACCCTAAAATATATAATCATAATGACTCTTCCTCCTGGTCCCTCTCTCCTCCCCTATAATTTTGGTTTAAGTGGTCCTTGAATTGCTCATTGAGAAAGAGCCTCAGGATCATTGTGAAGTGAAATTTCCCACAGGGCATCTTGAAAAACTTATAGGTAGCAGAAAATTCAACCGATTATCTCATTTCACCAATGCAATGCTCCCAACCTTAACGTCATCTTTCCTCATCAGAGTTTACTACTTATAATTTCTTTAAAATAATAAAAATAAAAGAGTACAGTAAATTGGGTGTAGAATGTAGCAGAAAAATACCAGTGTGCTTTTCAGATGGCACTTATTTGTTTTTGTCAATAAAAATGTTTATTCTAGGTCACAAGGCAGAATATATTATGGTAGATTTTAGTCAAAAAGTCTATTGCTAGCCAGGTACTGGTGGCTCGCAACTGTACCCTTAGCTACTGAGGAGGCTGAGATCTGAGGATCGGAGGTTGGAAGGCAGCCCAAGCAGGAAAATCCATCTCTAATTAACCACCAGATAAGTGGAAGTAGTGCTGTAGCTCAAAGTGGTAGAGCTCTAGTCTTGAGCAAAAGAGTTCAGGGACAGTGCCCAGGCCTGAGTTCAAGCCTGACCACCCACAAAAAAATAAAAGGAGAGAAAATAAGTCTGTTGTTTTACCATCCATTTTTCACATAGGAGCCTTATGAGAAACTAATCAGAATCCTCAACATTCAGACCTCACTGGTAATTCTCCTTCTGGACAGACATAAAACTCAAAGTCATTATCAAGGCTTACAAGGACTAAATTGACTGCTTGCCCCTCCAAGCTCAGTCTTACCTATCTTTCCCTGGCTCCGCCTGCTGTAACCTCATTGGTCTTTTTGTTGTTACAAACCAGCCTACGGTTCCCCTGGACATTTTCTAACCTCCCTCTTAAGATATGTGCAGACCTGGCTTTCTCATCTCAGCCAGGTTTCCCTTCAGACTGTGCCTCTTTTAAGAGGGCTCTTGGAGCCTTCTGTTTGAAAGAGTCCTCTGCAAACCCCAGCTCTTTCTATCCTTTCAGTCATCTTTGTTTTCCCTTCATTACGCACAGCACGATTTCTCTAAAGCTTGCTCACCAGCCCCTGAACTTCCATTTCATGCTTACAAAAATTCCCTACTTCATGAGTTTAGATGGGGAGTTGAAGCTGGTTCTCATTGTAGGTGTTGAAAAGATACTCGTTTTCCCATCTTCCCTTGCAGCTAGGAAGAGGTCATGCAGCCAGCCTCCACCAATCAGCTGTGTGCATGGTAAACAGTTGCATTGGGAGCCCCTAGAAGAGGGCTCTTTAGAATCTAACCCACCAGCAGGGCTCTGTACCACAAAGCCTCCTGAAGACTGCTCCTGGCAGAGGTCAACCTGCTAATGTATAGGCACTGTTGCAAACTTTTCTCTGGACTTTTCCTTCTTCTTCTTTTTTTTTTTGATGTTATATAAACTTGGTTTTGGTCTATGAAACCCTGATTTTTCTGCCTACGTTTTTATTTGCAGGCAGTTCCTTGTATCTCTACCAAGTTCCTATAAATATTTATACAGGCCTAGGTTCACATAAGTATGATTATGATGATATCATAATTATTGAGTTATACTTTTGAGTGGGTCTATTTGTGAATATGGATTGTCTTATTTATAGGTATTTAAATTTTTCTTTCATTTCAGTATATGCTTTCATCTTTCTTTCCAACAAGCTGGTTTTCCTCTCCTTGTCTTTTAGAAATTATCTTGGTATATGGACAGGTATCCTGCAGAAACCTGTTATTTTTCTAGAAAGGGCAATTTCTGTGTTGGATACCAAACGTTGACAAAATTATGCATAATTATCTATGCAATTACACTTGCACATGCTTGGAGATTTTTAGCCAGAAATGCTTAATAACATTTGCATGGTTAAATGAGACAGCAGAAACAACGGAAAGGCCTTGGGGTATGGT